TGAGTAGAAGCAGCAGGAAATTCATGATCCTGTATACAGATGAAATAATACTGATATTTTACCAAGCTACTGTATTTCTAATGAGCATTCCATAGGACAATACAATAAACCCAGATCAAATACTTACTCTTTTTGGCTTCTTCTACTTTGTCTTTGGCACGTTTTTCTGCTTGTAAAAGCTGCTGGATTCCCTGAGACTGGCTGGTCATGCTGATTTCTTGGGTCTGGCTTGTCTTTGTAGCAACTGAGAATTCAAAGGAGTTTTATACTATCAAATAATCTCTTCCCTGGGCCTTTTGTTGTGTCAACATGTGTTATAGTACCCATCTAGATTGCACCAAGTCAGCCTGGTCTTAGCCAGATTGCTGCAGTGCAAGAAAAAACAAAGGGCCTAATCAGGAAAACCACAATTTGCTTTAGAGACACTCTCTCCTTCTCTGGGTAACACAAGTTTACCCAGGATTAAACTGAAAATATGGGAATGACACTCAGACTATGACTGCTCATAGTTTTCTTTTTTTTCCAGAAACAAGAGAGCCAAAACAAAACCCCTGCGTTGTTGAGGCAGAATTTAATTAGCGTAATTAGTATGAATGGTAGCCAATTTTTTTTTCTTTATTGCCTTTTACTTGTAATACATTTTTCCATGGGTACTAAGAGTCAAAGTGGTAGGGCCAGCAAAGTAGACTTGGCTGAATACATGGGATTGTTTGTATGGCCCTTTGTGTTTACTTGCTATGAACGTTTTTCTTCATTAAAAAAAAACAATCAAAAAAGTCATACACAATAATTTGCAGAAGCCAAAGTGGAAAAGTCTCACTGTTCAGTGTATGCTCTTCATCTCCCACTGTGCCTGATCCAGATGTGATAATGCAACATCTGGAGGATGCAGCCCTTCAGCTCTGTTCATAGGTCTGGAGGTCCTGAATTTAAGCCTAATGGATCTATGTGGTACTCAAATGCGAGTGAAAATGCATAGATGCTGTTCTAATTAGGGAACAGACACGGTGACGGGGATATAGCTTCAGTCACCGATCACAAGTAAGCAGCAACAGCTCTGATTTTGATTATTTACCATCAAGCTGCGCCGTGAAGTATTTGAAGAGATATTTTTAATAAGGCATCTTTGCATGTTCCCCTTAGCACTCATGCTAGGAGTCATTTGACACTGTCATTCAGCTGTTTCATTTGGCTCCAATGATAATGTCTCAGACTCTCTTTGCTATTGGCTCTGGCTCCGAGGCCTTTTCTTTTCTGGTGATCCCCAGGGCAGCTCTTCTGTACTGCTTGCTTGCTGCAAGGCTGTTATGTGGCCCTTTATGAGAGTGTCTATTGTTGCTATGAATCTTTTTTTTTTCCAAGTGGCTGCAGGCTTGAGGGAGAATGGAAAGAGAAAAACCTCTTGTCCTATTTCTCTCTTCTACTGAGCTCCAATTTGCAGGAGCACTGGGAGTATGAAAAGGAAGTTGGCTGTTTTCTTCTGTCACTGCAGTACTGGAGTGTGGATCTACATACTGAATCTTACCCTGAGAAGTTATAATATTTCTCATGTGTGACTCTTCTTTCCCACCCAAGTATCACGTGAGATCTCTGTCCCTCTCAGCTGTTGGAATCACATGCCACTTATATTTGTCCAAGACAGCAAACACCAGACACAATTAAAAAAAAATCAGATGCATGTATTGGAGACGACTGTATTGTGTTTGAAAAGAAAATAGGAAGTGATGGTCAGCTGGACAGATGACATACAAATTTGAAGTTTCAACAGTCTGCTGCATAAGCAGAGCCATGTTATGAATGGTATGGCTGGTAGAAAAAAACAGAAGTAGGAAAAGAAAGGAAAAATGAACAGTTAGCTTTCATTGGCAAGTGGAATTCAGTTTTAAAGCTTAAAAGGAAGCAAGAGGTAATGTCAAATCAGGGGAGTATCTTGTGCAAGCCAGTCTTTGAACTTGTAAGAAATGCTGCAAGTATGCATTGCCCTTGACTCAGCCAAAACAAGTTAGTGATTAAGCCTTTTTTCTGGCTTTACATTTTGGTTCTAAGTAAGTCCTTGTGAAGATGATATCATAGTACGATCTATACTGCCAGTTTCCAAGCTTGTCTGATGGTAATGGCTTTCAACATGAGTCTCCCCTGTATTCCATTTTACTGAAAAATCATTGAAATAAAGTATGTTAAACAAGAAACTCTTCCATCATTGGATCCAAAGAGAAACTCTTCTGTGCTGCAGTTCTAATGTCTTTTTTTAGCTTGGTGCAGATGACAGTCCTTGTCACAAATAGTTGCAAGAAAGAGGCTAACGTTAATGTTTAGAGGCAATTGTTTTGGATCAAGAGGAAATCCAGTTTTAAAAAAGAGATTCCTTTCTACATATACAGTAGGTACTTTTGTCCTTTTTAATGAAATTCTATTTTTGCTGAGGTGGGTTTGGGCTGAGTGTCACTGATATATTGTCTGTCTGCTGCAGGTATGCTTTCCTAAATATATACATTTATTTTATTAGATTGTTAAAAGAGGCTTTCGGTATTTGTTCCTGTCTATCTCTACTGAGAAGGAAAAGAACTGAATATAATTCTAGTGCTTTCCCACCCCCTCAAACCCAGCTTTGGAGTCAGTAATGAAGAGGTATGTGAGGGATGAAAGACTTTGCAAAGGACTCCCTGCTTATCTGCAGGTTAGCCAGAAGCAGCAGCAGCCTAAATTAAATGTTTCCAGGGTGGACAGATATTGTGAGGCTGATGTGTTCAGTCTGTAGCCAGAAGGTCAGGGTCAGGGTATAAGTTACACCTGAGATGGTTTGAATTATTTTGTTGTCAAAAGCAATTGGCTTGGCCTATTACTTCAACTGAATTTTAACCAACGTGAAAACTACAACCTTTCAGTTTCTCTGCCCTTTAAATTCACTGCGCAGTAAAAGCAGAGCTATAGCATCTTTTATTGTGGTCCAAGAATTCACAGTGTTCTTCATGTAAGAGGGTAGCAGGCTACAGTTCTGCTGAGGTAGGCTTGGGCTGAAGGTCACTGATGCATTGTCTGGCTGCTGCAGGTATGTTTTCTGAAATACACACTTTTTTATTATAACAGTTCCGTTATGGAAAAAAAACCCTTATTTAAAATTTTTGCTACCATGACTACCAAGTGGCACATTTTGTTCAGGCGACAGCTTCAAAGCACCAGCCCTGATTCAATGATGAAGTAAAATCAGCAGCATGTCAAAGAGGACGAGCTGCAGTGGACTTTTGTGTGTGAGAGCAAGTTCCTTTTGTTTTTTTTGTTCAAAAAGGTCTAAGCAAGGAAAGGTACTGTGCACACCTGCATGCCTCATTACACCACAATGAGGCCACCATGATTATTTTTCTAACTAAAAGAGAGCAACTTCAAATGAAGTAAAATCTATCATATTGAGAGAGAATGCTGCAGAGTTCTGCAACTTCTATCAGCATTTAATGTCAGAGGGACTTTGTCTGTAACCCAAAAAAATATGCATTGCCAGCCACAACACACTTTAAAAAAGCATTAATTTATTTTTTTCTCTCATAATAAAAATAGCAGCATAAATTATATTGAACTCTGCATTAACGTTCTGAACATGGATGTATATTTGAGAGCCTTGCAATAAAAACCTAAGGGTGAAAGCCAGTGACTTCAATGGCAAAGCTTCTATTGACTTCAGTGACTTCATCTGTGTTTTGAATTTTACCCTTAGGGTTTAAAAGGATGCAAATAAACAATTAAGATTGCATAAATAAATGTTAAAATCTATTTAGAACATATGCAACTATTAAATTAATATGCTTATGTAAAAATCTTAACATATGTTGGATATTTTGAAAATGCCCTTATACTGGTGCATTAAGGACATACCTTATGCATAGTTTTTAATTTGCACAGGTTTTCTGGTGTGAATTCTTTCACGGTATGACTGCATAGTAGTGACTAGACTAGTTATGCAAGATTACCAGCTTCTAGATGGGGTATGTCTATGCAAGCTGCTACCACAGCAGTGACTGCAATAGTGACACCTTAAATTCCACACACTACATTTATATTGAAACTTAGCAGCTTGAGGTTCAACTGCATGATTTGAAGGTGGAAATGCATTTTGTGTGTTCAAATCTGAATATTTTTATGCACACCAAAACTGGATCTCAAATAGTATGCTTTCAGTTTTAGCTGGCTTGAAGCACGTCTCATGCTGTATCTAGTGGATAGACTGCTGATCTCATCCTGGTCTTTTAAAATATGTTTTCTTCTGTATCATAAAAGGAAATTTTAAATTAAAGGCATTTAAAAAAACCTTAATATCATGCAGTCAATCATATAATCATGTCAGTTTTGGGCCCTGTGTCATATGTTTTGTGATATGATATATTATGGGCCTTGAAGAAAATGGGGAATTTTTTAAAGGCAAATAAAATACCAGCTCCAAGGCACGTCAGTAGGAACTGAGTGCCTAATCTGTATTTTACAAATTTCCCCCACCATAATCGAGATATGCAAACTAGATGGACAGTAAAGAAAACTCTCATTTCTATCAGTAGTCACATGATAAATCAGCTCTATGAAATACTGGTCTTTACGGAGAATTATAGTAGTTTAAAAAAAAAAAAGTCATGGTTAATTTTCCTTCATGTAAATTCTGAATAAACTTAAGAGCTGATAAGTTATTTTTATTTATTTAATTTTCTTAATGTTTCATTTTAAGTAAAACTTCTTTTTTGAGGATAGTTCTCCTTCTCTGTATCATTTCCCACCTCTTCTCCCAATAACGGGCCTCTTCTCTTTCTCTGACTCCTACCACATCCTGTTTGACCCTCAAACAATCATTTTTATTTCTTACTCGTGATACTATGTTCTGACAAAGGTTGCAACTTATTGCTGTACTCTTAAATCTCACACAAACTCAAACATTTTACTCACAGCAGGAGAAGAAAAATCACTTAAGTGTCATTTGAACAAGCTAGGCTAACCAGTAATTCATACTCATGCAGCAAGTGTATATGCATTGAAGAGTGAACTAGATGTTTTTACCCGTAAACTTGGGGTATGTGAAGATGTTGCATTAGGTTGACCTAACTAGGGTTAGGTCCATCTAAATGACCATCTGTGCAGATGTTCTGGGGTGGAGGGGGTGGGGGTTGTAAATCAGGCCAAAAATAGCCAGCCCAATCTAAGTTTGTTCACCCTGGGGTTGGGGAAGTTCAGCTGCTCACTACAACCCTGGAGCTGTGCTCTTCCTAACACCTCCCCACCCCTCCACAATCCTG